TTCCTTCTTTCATGAATAAGAGTCTAGCTGGGTAAAGTATTTTTGGTGAGTAATTTATTTCATTTTTTTTTTTTTTTGCTTTTTGGGTCACACCCAGCAATGCACAGGGGTTACTCCTGGATCATGCACTCAGGAATTGCTCCTGGCGGTGCTCAGGGGACAATATGGGATGCTGAGAATTGAACCCGGATCGTCTGCGTGCAAGGCAAATGCCCTACCCTCTTTGCTATCGCTCCCTCATTGAGTTTTTTCACTATATCCCACTACTGTTTTCGGGCTGTGAGGGTTTCATCAGACAAATCGACTGTGAATCTTAAGGATGCTCCTTCATAGGAAATTTCTTTCTTTGATCTTGCTGGGGTTAGAATGATAGCAAAGTGGGTAGGGCATTTGCCTTGCACACAGTCAACATGGCCAATCCAAGTTTGATTCCTCTGCCCCTCTCGGAGAGCCCGGCAAGCTACCAAGAATATCTTGCCTGCACGGCAAAGCCTGGCAAGGTACCCGTGACATATTTAACACTCCAAACACAGTAACAAGTCTCAAAATGGAGATCTTACTGGGCCTGCTCGAGTAAACTGATGAACAATGGGAGGGCAGTGTGATCTTGCTGCTTTCAGAATTTTGTCCCTATCTAAGGTTTTGGTCATTTTGGTCAGGATGTGTCTTAGGGTATTTTTTATTCCAATTTCTTCTAGTTGGTACCCTTCGGGCCTCTTGAATGTGGTTGCATGTTTTCTTCAGCTCTGGGAACGTGGTAGCAATGATGTCTTTGACAATTTCTTCTTCATCAGGGTTTTCTTCCTGTCCCTCTGGGACTCCAATAATTCTTATGTTACTCCTCTTGGCTTATCATGGTCTTATCTTGACATCTGTTCCTGAACTGAGTCTCTTTTCGGGAAAGTCTCTGGACTTCATCTTCGAGCTCACTGATTCTGTCCTCAGTAGCTGTTACTCTGCTGCTGACACCTTCCACTGAGTTTTCCAATTCATCTACCAGGTTTTTCAGGTCTGACATTTCTGTTTGTAATTTTCTTTGCATTTTCTACACTTCTACCTTCAAATCCTCTTGTATTTTATTTGCATTGTTTTTCATTATTTCTTTTAGCTCCCTAAGCATCTTCAGTAGCTCCCTTCTAAATTCCTTGTCAGAGATGTTGTCTAGCACTTCATTACTGTTGGGTTCTTCAGGGCTGGCCTCTCCAATAAGTAAGCTCGGAGGGCTTCTGTGTTGCTTTACCATTGTGACCTGTGTGGTTTATCCCTTCACACTCACTATTATTATTCTGCTAATCATGCAGTATTAATTGAGGTGGGCTTAATGAATTATTGGCTAATGTGTTTCTGGTGGTTAAGCTAACTTAAAGGGTAACTTATGGTTTCTATGGGATATGGAGGGGAAGAATAACTCGCAGCCGCGTTGGTGGCTACGGCTCCAGGAAGGAGCCCTGTCACCGGGTGGGTACCATTATGAGATGAGCAGAGGGTGCCTGGAATGGTTCAGCTTTGGCTGTGTGTGGTGTGCCTCAATTCCCATCCCCCGAAGATCAAGGATGAAAACCAGTTGTTCTAGCTCCAGGAAGGAGCCCTGCCACTGGGCAGGTACCTGGATGAGATCTGTTGTGTTTTTTTTATATACCACACGATCACAATCACAATCACGATGATCCTGTTGTTTGTCAATTGCCTCAAGTAACGTCTCCTTCATCCTAGTTCTGAGATTTTAAAAGTGCCACATTCGAGGCTCTTTCAGGGTCAGGAGAATGAGACCCATCATTGTTACTAGTTTTTGGCATATTGAATACGCTACGGGGAGTTTGCCAGACTCTGCTGTGGGGGTAGGATTCTTTTGGTAGCCTGCCAGGTTCTCCAGAGTAAGAACTAGATGATAAGATGTCACATTCGTGGTTGTGCGCTTCTGGAAGCAGGGTTTTATAGTCTCTGGGTCTTGGCTGTTGATGGGATTACACAGTGCCAGGGGCAGTTGGTGGGTATAATGCCTATATACTAGAATATGGGGATCTGGGTGGAGGAGGCCCCAGTCCCAATCCGAACAGGCTTGGAGATCTGTGCCCCAGGTCCCACTCACCTGGGTTCCTCAGCCGGTTCCTTCATGTGTAAGGCTAGTCCAAACATGTGGAGAGTGGTCTTAAGCATAGTTGTGGCTGGAACTGGCAGTCTTCAGCTGCCAGGGCTCTGCTCGGGGTGGGGAAGGAAACTCAACCCACCCTTCTCCAAGGGTCCCTGGTAAGGACAGCCAGGCACGGAGGCAGGAGACTCTGTGCTGTTCTCTTCTGGGAGCAGGGTTTTATAGTTTTATATACCACACATAAGAGAGAATGCTTGGTATTTGTTTTCTGACTCCATTTATATCTTCTAGTTACATTCACATTGCAGACAATTACATAATTTCATCATTTCTTGTGAATGCAAAGTAGTAAATGTACATAATATAGCTATATATATTCATATCATGCCTTAATATTCAGTTATCCATCATTATAATGTGGTAAGATACATGTAGCATGAAGCTTATAGGTATACTATTTAGTAGAAGTACATTTATATGGGCTGGAGCAATAGCACATCAGGTAGGGAGTTTTCCTTGTACATGGCAGACCCAGGTTCAATTCCTCCATCCCTCTTGGAGAGCCTGGAAAGATACTGAGAATATCCAGTCCACACGGCAAAGCCTGGCAAGCTACCCATGATGTATTCCATATGCCAAATACATAACAAGTCTCACAATGGAGATGTTACTGGTGCCCACTTGAACAAATAGATGAACAATGGGAGGACAGTGCTACAATGCAACATATACATAGTTGTATATTCACTATAATTCTCTTTATGGAAAAATTTCATCCTCTAAAATGGAAACTCTGCATACATTGAAAGTATCACTTGACAAATATGTAATTTTCTGTCGTTCTGTGTGTTGCCTTGATATTGTCCTTTGACACAAATATTTTTAATTTTGATTTGGTACTATTTTTACTTTTTTTTTACAGTGGCCTGTAATGTTGGTATTATAGCTAAAATCTCTTCCAAATTTATATTATTAACATTTTCTCACATTTATTATAGTTTTATGTTTTTATTGTGTTTTAAGTTGATATTTTGCATAAAAATATATTTTCATTCTTTTGTGTATGAATATCCAGTTTTCTCAGTACTGCATCCTCCCCCCAAGTACTGCATTGGTTTTATAGATTATTTTAGGTTGTATTTATGTGTTAATGATATTAATCCTTCAATCAGCAAACATAGAATATTTGTTTTTAAATTTTGTATTAAGATACTGTGATTTACAAAGTTGTTCATAATAGAGTTGTTTCAGGCACACAGTGTTTGACTATCAGTGTTCTGCTCCCTCACCGATGTTCAAAGGTTTCTTTCCATGCTCAGTCTGCCCCTTTTGTAGGCATATAATAAATTTATTTCAATTACTTGCTCCAAAAAAATTTAAAAGAATGAAAAATGATGACAATTTTCAGGTATACTGAATAAAATAGAGAAAGTAGACATCTTTGTTGTGTGTAATCTCAGAAGGATGGCTTTCAGAGCATGGCTATGGGTTCACTATAAATGCCCATTATTGTCTTTTGTGAAGGTGGGTTAGACCATACCTGACTGTGATTCAGTGGAATTCATAGTGAAGTGATCAGAGATGACTCCTGGAGTGATTGGGAGCCATATGAATAAAATTTACACCAACCCACCAAAATGGGTTGGTGATATACAATCCCCTGCACTAGCACTGACCCAGGCCAGTATTATCTTAAGGCATATGTCTTCTATCTCTATTTTTTGATAATGTTTTAAAATCACAAATGGGGAGCCAGAGTGATAGTACAGTGGGTAGGGCGTTTGCCTTGCACCCGGCCGACCCAGGTTCAATCCCCGGCATCCCATATGGTTCCCCAAGTACCGCCAGGAGTAATTCCTGAGTGCAAAGCCAGGAATAACCCCTGAGCATCGCTGTGTGTGACTCAAAAAGCAAAATAATAATAAAATAATAAAGGAAGATGAAACTTAAAAAAATTAAAAAATAAAATCACAAATGAATGTTGAATCTTTTTTTTTTCTTTTGGGTCAAACCCAGCAAGGCTCTCTGGGCTCTGCACTCAGTAATTACTTATGGCGGTGCTCAGGGAACCACATGGGATGCTGGGAATCGAACCTGGGTTGGCTGCATGCAAGGCAAACACCCTACCCGCTGTACTATCGCTCCAGCCCCAGATGTTGAATCTTAGCAAAAGCTTTACCTTCCATCCATTACATGAACATATGATTTTAACATTTCTCTCCTCTCTCTCTCTCTCTCTCTCTCTCTCTCTCTCTCTCTGTCTCTCTTTCTCTCTTTCTCTTTCTTTGCTTTTTGTTCCACAGCTGGTGGCGTTCAGGGCTTACTATTGTTACTATCACTGTCACTGTCCTCCTGTTGTTCATCGATTTGCTCAAGCGGGCCCAGTAATGTTTCCATTGTGATGCTTGTTGTTACTGTGTTTAGGATATTGAATACGTCACAGATAGCTTCCAAGGCTTTGCCATGCAGGCAAGATACTCTCAGTAGCTTGCCAGGCTCTCCGAGAGGGGCAGAGGAATTGAACCTGGCTCGGTAGGGTTGGCTGCATGCAAGGCAAACACCCTACCCGCTCTGCTATTGCTCCAGGGCTTACTACACACTATGTAATCAGGAATCACTCCTCATGGAAATTGAGGAACTATATTATAAACATTTTCCACATTGGTGGAGAGCTCTTGGCACTGGTGTCATGTGTGAAGTCGAGCACTGTGTGTATGAAACTGTTTTATGAATGGTACTAAAATCACGGTGTTTAAGTTAATAATGGAAAGAAAAATTATTTTCTCATAATATGTCAAATTTTTGAATATTTCCAATAATTATTTTAATATTTTAAAGAAAATAAAAATTAGAAAAATTATTTTCTGATATGTCAGATTTGAAAAACTGTACCATCTTTGTTTTATTTCAGTATTGTTTAAATAGAACTTGTGAAGAAACAAAGTTAATGATGACATCAAGCTGTAATGCTACCACAAAATGCAAAGGGAATGGAGTAAGTTTTATTTATAATTCTACATTACATGTCATTTATACGCAATAATAAGAAAAACATCTCAGGCAAATAGTTAAGGAGATAGTCCAGGAGATGACTGAAATCCTTTTATGGCATAATATTACTTCCTGGAGGTCCCTAAACTTCACTGGGTGTGACATGAGGGTCCCAGCACTTCTGGGGCAGACTTTCTGGTCCCCAGCGCCGCAGGGCCTGTGCAGCACTATAGTCTGAGACCCTAGCTTTAAACACTGATCTGATGATCTGACCATGTAGGGAGTGACTCCGGTAACTCTTGAGTACTGCCTCAGAGTCCCCACCTCCCAAAGAATATTTCTATGCCATGTTGACATGTAAGAGAATTTTCTGGTTATTCTTACAATATTTAAAATTGAAAAAGTATCCTTAACACTTTCTTCTTAAATGTGTATCTGTTTTAATCTAGCCTCACACAAAATTTCTTAAAATTTGTCCATTTGAACCCTAATTTTCCTTTAAAAAGTAATTTATGGGCTCAGTTTTTGCTGGTACGGTATTTATTTGCCTTGCATGTGGCCAATTCAGGCTGGATCCCTGGCATTCCATACAGTTCCTTGGTCACAACCAGGAGTAATTCCTGAGCGCAGAGCCAAGAGTAAGCCCTGAACATTGCCAGGTGTGACCCCAAAAGAAAAAAATCTATTTATGATATAATTCACACTATATTAATGCTCTAAGATTTAGTTATATAAATTTTAAATTAATAAAAGTTAAAGATTCCAGTAGATTTTTCTTTCATTTTCTTTAGACTATTAACAAAGAGCCAACTATATAATTGTGATCTTTTGTTTTATTTCCTGCAGTAGCAATTGTTGACATAAATTTTTGTTCTTTTTATTTTGTCTCAATGATCTATTTCTACATTAAACCTATGTTTTAGGTAAAATATAAAAGTTTATATATGATGAATTACCAATATTTTTTATCAATTTTTTAAAATTAATTCACTGTCACTGTCACTGTCCTCCCGTTCTTCATTGATTTTCTCAAGCGGGCCCAATACTTCCTCCTTTGTGACAATTGTTACTGTGTTTGGCATATCAAATACGTCACAGGTAGTTTGCCAAGCTTTGCCGTGCAGGAGAGATACTCTCGGTAGTTTGCCGGGCTCTCCGAAAAGGTCAGAGGAATCAAACTTGGGTTGGCCATGTTGGCTGCGTGCAAGGCAAATGCCCTACCCGTTGTTCTACCGCTCCAGCCCTTAAAATTAATTTAAGGTAAGGTAAAGGTAAAGGCCCTCCCGTTGTTCATCGATTTGCTCGAGTGGGCCCAGTAACGTCTCCATTGGAGACTTGTTGTTACTGTGGTTGGCATATCAAATACATCACAGGTAGCTTGCCAGGATCTGCCGCGCGGGTGGGATACTCTCGGTAGCTTGCCAGGCTCTCCAAGAGGGGCGGAGGAATTGAACTCGGGTCGGCCATGTTGACTGCATGCAAGGCAAATGCCCTACTGCTATTTTTATTGATAGTTGAGCCAAGAATAAGCCCTGCACACCAATGGATACTGGTGTGACCCAAAAGCATATATAATCACATTAAATTCATCTTCTCAGCTCCTTTTCAATACTATACACTATTGATCAACTATTTGCATTTTATGTCTTTTTAAACAATTTCATTTCCATTTTTGAGACACCTCCCAAGCTGTGGTCAAGGTCAAGGGTCCAGAGATCAAATTCAAAGCTTATTTTTGGCTGGGGCTGGAGCGATAGCACAGCGGGTAGGGTGTTTGCCTTGCATGTGGCCGACTGGGGTTTGATTCCCAGCATCCCATATGGTCCCCTGAGCACCACCAGGAGTAATTCCTGAGTGTAGAGCTAGGAGTAACCCCTGTGCATAGCCAGATGTGACCCAAAAAGGAAAAAACAAACAAAACTTATTCTTGGCTCTGCACTCATGGATCACTTATGACAGGGCTCAGGGGAACATATGGAGTTCCCGGGATCTAAACCAGGTCAACCGCATGCAAGGTCAACTTCTTTCCACTGTATCATCCCTTTAGCCCCTTATCAAAATATTTTGTATAAAATTAAAGTACATGGATAGAAAACAAACAAGTGATTGCTTCAAAGATTCAAAGATAAATATTTGAAACATTATAAATAAACCCAACCCTTCATTTTCTTATGTGAGTTTGATTGCTCAAGTTCAAGTAATTGAAATGGAATTGTGAAAAATTAAGTATCAAAATAAATATAGACAAAATATGTCAGACATTGTCATGTATGTAATTTTCTATTAAATATTTTATAAAATTTATTACCAAAATTTTCAACACATTTTCTAAATTAATCCTAATATTCTATAGTCTTAATAATGTCACTGTGGCAGTGGAGTGTCAATTTAAAATGTGTTGTGATTATTTAATACATGTAAACCGAAAGGTTCAGTGAAATGTGGCTCTGGACCATGTTGTACATTCAAACGTGAGGTAAGCTTCCAGCGTTTATTAAAAGGATATTAAATGTTCTATAGAAGGCTGCAAAAGTTGAATCAATGTTGAATTTGTTGGAAAATGAAAGTAATTTAGTAGAGCAAACTTGAGAATTCATAAACGTCCACCGTAATGTGGGAAAACTACCGCGAAATAAAGGAGGCATCTTAGCTGGATAATTATCAATCCAGATTACCATCTTCTTAAATATTACAAATTTAATAAAATAAATCTTTGATATTGCTGCATAAAATAATAACTCCAGGAAATCGTAAAGTCAAATCATAAAAGACTAATTTTTGAACAATTAACAAAAGAAAAAATTGTATCACAAACCAAATGTGTAGTGTATAAATCAGACAGAGAACTCACTCATTTGTATATAAAAGGTGAAGATCACCCATGTGTGCGTGTACACACACACACACACACACACACACACACACACACACACACACAGGTAAAGCCATACCCGCACAGTTTATAACAAAGAAAGGAGAACTGTCAAATTTACATACAGATCATACTTAAGATAAAAATAAAAATAATTATGCAGTGTTATAGAGAATTCAGAAGGATGGCTGTATTTAAAACAATATCAGAATAAAGTGTACAAGAACATGGAGATAACCATCTCTTCTGGATGCCCCTGGTGGAATTCTAAATGTTTAAAATCCCTTTGGTGAACAATATATTGTCAAGTTTATCACCATATGTATGGAACCTAAAAGTATGCACATGTATAGAAAACTCAGGAAAGATTACCAATCATATTATTGTTTATATTAGCAAATTTTAAAAAAATTCTAGTTCTTACTCTGGAGAACCTGGCAGGCTACCAAAAGTATCCTGCCCACACAGCAGAGTCTGGCAAACTCCCTGTGGAGTATTCAATATGCCAAAAATGAGTAACAATGATGGGCCTCATTCTCTTGACCCTGAAAGCACCTCGAATGTGGCACTTTTTCAAATCTCAGGGCTAGGACAAAGGAGATGTTAGTGGGGCCTGCTCAAGGCAATCGATGACCAACAGGATGATAGTGATACAGTGATAATAATGTCTGGGGGGGGGGACCCAGAAGACCCCTGGTGGTACTGGAGAGCATATATCCAGGTGATTAAGCATATATATAAGCATATATATATATGCATATATCCAGGTGATTAACACTTGTTTATGTTGCTGCCACAATAAGAAAACATCCATCTATTTTTCTGATTATTTTTAAAACTTGAAAACTAATCATTTACTCTTTATATCTATAATTTTGGCTATGAAGAGAAGTTTATATATATATAAATGGAATCATATACATATCTTGAAAAACAAATGATACATTTATCATTATATCCCATAGGGAAGGGCTTTGTAAATTATTTCAATATTTTGTGTTTTGGAGGGTTCACACCCTGTAGTGCTCTGGGTTTTCTCTTGGCTCTGCTCTCACAGATCACTACTAGCAGTTTTTAAGAAACTATTTAAGGTTCTGCGAATGGAATCTGGGTCTCTCGCCAGTCCCCTAGTCTTAATAATCATAAGGGAAAACGTGATTGCATTATTTTGAGTTTTTTGTAAGAAATAAAGACAGCATGGCTTATTGTAATTACATATTTTATGTTTCAGATATGCAATAATTTAGGTAATTGTCATTGCTTTCCTGGCTATAGACCTCCAGATTGTGAATTCCAAATTGATTCACCAGGTGGAAGTATTGATGACGGAAGCATTCATAAATCTGGTAAACAACTAAACTTTTACAACAAAATTCAGTGTTTGATAACAAAATAGAAATGTTAACACTGTTGAAACAAATATCTTCTGATTTCTGAATACTTAATAATGTGATTAACTGCATTACTTTTGAAAATGAAATATATTTATACTTTCTCTTGTTCACATAAATGAAGACTACTAGCAAAATTATTCATTGATTCCACATTTAGTCATTGATGCATTCTTTTCTTTTTTTAATGTATGAGCATTGCTATTTATTCAGCCATTGATTAAGCTGATTGAATTGGGCATGAACTCCACATTACTTTTTTTACTTCAGAATGTTAATTTTATTTTCTTATTTTGTTATTATTTCCCCCCTTTATATTGATTCACCATGAGATAGTTACAAGGCTTTCATGTTTGAGCTTCAGTCATAATCATCAAACACCCATCCCTTCACCAGTGCACATTTTCCACCACCAAAATCCCAGCATTTCTCGCCCCCCCCCACCCTTTCCAACCCTTCCCCTGCCTGTGTGGCAGACAATTTCTACCACACTCTTTCTCTCTACTTTGGTTACATTCTATATTTTGACACCAGTCTCACCACCCAATGCTAAATGATTTGATTTGTATTGCTTGTTATGGATAGAATACAGTGTTCGGGAAATTCTGTGTCGTTCTCTTCTGGGAGCTTTAGTTTATAGTCTCTGGGTCTTGGCTGTTGATGAGACTACATGGTGCCAGGGGCAGTTTGTGGGTGTGGCTGCCAAGTTTCTGGAAAACTGGGGACCTGGGGGAAGAGTCTCAGTCCCTGTCCAAGCAGGCTTGGAGATCTCAGTCATGGGTTTCTGCTTACCTGGGTTTTCCTGCCAGTTGGCTCTTGGGTGAGGTTCATTCTCTCTTGGGTGGGGCTCGTCCTTTCTTGGGTGAGGCTCATCCTAGAGTGTGGAGAGTGACCTTGGCCATGGCGGTGGTTGGGTTCTGGAGGTTTTCCGGCTGCTGGGGTTCTGCTTGGGGCGGGGAGGGAAACTCAATCCACTCCCCTCCAAGGTGCCCCAGTGAAGACAGCCTACACTTGTCGCTGGGTTCTGGAAGCTGCACTTGTCACTGGGTTCTGGAAATTGGCGGCCACTGGGGTTTTTAGGGGACAGGCAGAGGGATGATGCCTGCCCCCATTTGAGGCACCCTGGTGAAATCTGCCTGGCTTAAAGTTCGGAGGCATCTCTGCAGCGAGCTGCTCAGTTTGAAGATTCTTTTGTGTCTATCCCCTCTCGGAGAGCCCGGCAAGCTACCGAGAGTATTCGATATGCCAAACACAGTAACAACAAAGTCTCCAATGGAGACGTTACTGGGCCCGCTCGATCAAATCGATGATCAACAGGAGGGCCTTTACCTTTACCTTTACCTTTACCTTTACCTTTGTGTCTATAGATCAAGGTCCTTGTTTCCATCTTTTTCAAAGAAGTAAACTATGGCATATGCCCTGCATGGTGTGCCAGCTTGCCACATTGCACCATGCCACTGGCCCTGTGGCTCGAGATTGATGTGTCTCTGAAATAAGGCCAATAAATTAGTTTGTATTGCTGAGCCAGAGGTGGTTTGTGGGAGTAGCTCCCACATACCTAAGTTTTGGCCATTTAATTTCTTTGTAAACTTGGCCTCAAGTTGTTGGGGTCTGCCCAAAGGCACAGCTGAAATTTTGAGGTACCTGGAAGTCTGAAGGCAGCATCAGGCTGCTGATGCACTCACCCCACAGGTACAGGTTGACCTGCTGGTGGCACCATACCCCCATTGATGCATTCTTTCTAGAAACATGTTAAATAAAATTGAAATCCAAATTTAGGAAATTCAACTCAAACAGCAATTGTAGAGAATGCTTTTAAAGATATAAATCAGAATAAAAATAAAGTAAATGATAAACAATAGCTTTATTTATTAAGCAGAAAATTAAAATAGAAAATTTAGTAGAGCATGAAATGACAAAAAGGTCACTGCATGATAATCTGATGCTATCTCAGATGATTGTAAATAACAGTAAATAAGGTGTGAAGATCAGTTATATTCGGCACATGATAAGAGCAATGAAAATAAACAATGTGAAGAAGTTTTTGGAAGATAGAAGTTTAGGATAACTTAATTTTGTGTGCTATTGAAATAATGCTTTTATATAAGAAAAACAACATATAATGTCATACCCAAGAAAACTTTCTTCAAAAATAAAACATTGAGACATCAAGACATTTACCATATAAGCAAAAATTGACATTACATATAACCAACATAGATGAGCACTAGGCATTACAAATGCTTAAGGGACAGAGCAGAGATACAGCTGAGTCCTAGGTTTGGTCCCTGGAAACTGGGAGCTACCATCATGCTGTAGCTAGGGAACAATACTGTTTCAAAACCAAAACAAAATAGGGGCCAGAGAGCTGGTAGGGTGCAGCCATGCATGCAGCCAACCTGGGTTCAATCCCCGCCATCCCAAATGGCCCCCAAAACTGCCAGCAGTGATTCCTGAGGGCAGAGTTAGGAGTAAACGCTGAGTACTGCCAGTTATACCCCCCAACCAAATGAAATAAATAAGAAATGCATCGGAGAATGATGTAAGTTAAAAATAATGACACACAATTCAAAAGATAATGAAATAGAGGACTCGAGTTCAGCCAAATTTATGGACAAATAAATGAATTCTCATTATCATATTATTGATTTTAACTTCATATTTTATCCATGCAAGATTTAGAAGATATGCACAAAACTAATGATAAACTCATGTAATTTAGTTTACAATGTACCAGATATAATTTATGATAAAGGTATAAATATCAGGAAAAGTTGTATATAAATAAATTGTATGTGCCATTGGGATCTATTTGATATTAGTTCAAATAAAAAATAGATTTACATTATCAAGAGTATTTTATGTCATTGTATGTGCATAATCACACAAGATTAGGGTTAATTATGTAAATTTATAATCCATCAATAAACACCAAGATTATTAATTTTTCATAGTCATGATAGTCTATGACTAGTTAATAGTCAATATAATTCATAATAGTCATCTAAAATTTGTCTATCACAATAATATTGCTCTTATACCAGAAATGTAGCTTTTATGATTATATCACTTGGAGGCATTCTTCTCCTTTCGATTCTTCGACAAATGAAACTTATTCAAGAACTAATAAAACTGAGATTTTTATCAGCACCCAGCAGCAATTGTTGCATTACACAACATGCATTGCTCTAAGTAGCTAGATTACTTAGCCTTATTAATCATGTTTTCATCAATAAAAAATAATTTAAAACATAATTAACAACATGTTACCATTAATTATGATGTCAACAAATCTCACTATCACCATAATGTCAGTATTAAATGAGGAACTTAGGCTAACAAAGATCAAGAACATAGTTCTTAAAAAAGTATCACTTAATATAAGAAATCAGGAATTTCAAGAAACTGTGCCATACAAATGAGAGCATATCATACACTTTTACTTAACCTAAGTAATTACTATATTGTAGGGAGCGATAGCACAGCGGGTAGGGCGTTCGCCTTACAAGCGGCCAACATGGCCGACCCGAGTTCGATTCCTCCGCCCCTCTCGGAGAGCCCGGCAAGCTACCGAGAGTATTCGATACGCCAGACACAGTAACAACAAAGTCTCCAATGGAGACGTTACTGGGCCCGCTCGAGCAAATCGACGATCAATGGGAGGGCCTTTACCTTTACCTTTACCTACCCAATGACATTTTTTTTCTTTTTGGGTCACACCTGGCGATGCATAGGGGTTACTCCTGGCTCATGCACTCAGGAATTATTCCTGGCGATGCTTGGGGGACCATATGGGACACTGGAATTCAACCCGGGCCAGCCACGTGCAAGACAAACACCCTATCTGCTGTGCTGTCACTCCAGCCCCTACCCAATGACATATTAACAGCTACATGTACTAGTTAAGTAGCTCTAATCTTTTTTTGCTACCATTAAATGGGGAGAAATGTCAGCAGAATTATAGCTACTTATTCAAATTTTCAGTCATCATGTTTATTCACCAAAGGGCTCTGCTAAAGGAAAATTTTACCTTTGTCTTTAGGTTTGTAGTCTAATACTTAGACATTTTACCTAATTCTTAATTTTTATTATTATTTTAATTTATAATAGTTTAGATAGCTAAAATTGAATTAAAATTATTGTGTTAATATAAAGTTTCTACACCCAACCACTACCAAAGTGCTGATGACCCTTCACCACTGTCCTTATGTAACTTCTACGATGGTCTTCATTTTGCTCCATTCCCGCTATTTGGTGTTGGATTTCAGTGTCAAGGGTTTGTTATTATTCAGTGCTATTTATTTCTCAGCATATAAACCATATAAACAGAAATCATCCAGCATTTTATTTTTTCTCTGACTCACTTCACTTAGTATGATCTATTCTACAAATCTATCCATATTTCAGCAAACATTACAATTTTATTTTTTTTCTTACAGCCATAGTAGACCACTGTGTATACATACCAACTTTTTTATCCACTGATTGATTGTTGGACAGTTTGCTTGTTGCCTGGTCCTGACAGTTGTACTAAGTATTGAAATGAAAGTTGTCGTGCATATACCTTTCCAAGGAATGTTTTATATTTTGGGTAAAGATACTGAGAAGTAGAATTGCTAGTTCAGATGAGAGTTATGTTCCTACTTTTTGGGGAAAATCTCCACACTGCGACCCAGAAAGGCTGAACCAGATGGTATTTTCACTAACAGTGAATGAAGTTTCCTTTCTTACCTCATGCCCATCAGCGCTAGTTATTCCTAATCTTTTTAAAAAATAAGTTTTAATGGCTCACTGAGATGCATTTACAAATTGGCATGATTACGTTTCAGTCACACAATGCTTGAGCATCCATCCCTCTACCAGAGCACATTTTCCACCACCATTGTTCCCAGTGTCCCTCCTGACACCCCCACCCAATCTCACTACCTGCCTCTGTAGTAGGTACAATCCTTCTTACTCTCTCTATAATTTTGGGTGCTATGATTT